GAGAGAGAGAGAGAGAGAGAGAGAGAGAGAGAGAGAGCGGAAAGAAGGCAAAGCTAGTACTAGTAGAGGAAGGTGGGGAAGGTGGCAACGAACACCCTCTTGTGTATAGCCACTTCTTCCCAGGATTCCTGCTGCCACACACTGACCGGTGCAATGTGCGTGTGGCTGCTACATTGAAGGCATACGCAGAAACTGTCAAGCTTGATCTTGTTTCGATCCTCCCACACCTTTCCTGAAGCACAAGTTTGGGCAACAGAGGAGATATGTAGAGAAGCACATGCCGCCTCGCCCAGCTAACAACACTGCTGTTCACTAACATGGGTACAAGCATGTGTGTGTCTTATCAACGTCTGCGCCATAACACGAGTCACGTCTGTCTGTATCATCTCTCAAAGAGTGTGTGGGGCGAAGAGTGAGCGCAGGCACAGCAAGCACTCATAGAAGTTTGAAAGTGCTGCTGTGTTGCTGTGTTCGCTTCGTTACCTCTCTGGGTGGGTATGCATCAGAGTGTTCATGCGGGACTCTAATAATGTAGCTGCAAGATCGCTAGCCAGGATTTTCTTAGCGCGAGCGCCAGCGGTGTATGCTGTGGTCGTACATATCTTGGTGGGCAGCTGGAGTTATGTTTACTACGTTTGCATGCCGTGATGCTGTACAGCCTGTCTCCTTTTTACGATAATGACTGCTATCGACTACCAAAACAAGATACCGTGCCGACAGCTTTGACACGCACACACCGCGCTGGCCGTCTATCTGCCGTTGTTTTTTTTTGTTTTTTTCCAGCACACATGGAAGAAATCGCTGGCGTTTTCTCTTCTCAACGAAGGAAAAACGACGAAGTGAGAGCGCCAGGCGACGTAACAAGCATGTGGTCGTTGCATCTCTTTCCGTAACCTCCGCGTGGGGTGTATCTCGAGGTGTTTGGGTAGATCGGTATTGGTGAATACAGCATCGGCGTGAGACGTTCATGTCGCGCTCCTCTTTTCTCTTCGAAATCTCGCAGCATTCCTCACCTCACCGCCAAATCTCCCGTCCCTCTTCGCATCTGACTCACACATGCACTAATGCCTGCGCCATTAGCTCTCAGCCATTACGTCGCAGATCGTCCGCCCACTCTGTCCTCAGTTCCTCAGAAGTTGCACGGCACAGCACGTTTCATCACGCATGGCGTCGTCGCGCGTGCTCGGAATATAAATTTGTCGGGACTGTCGTTGGGGCGAACGCCTCTGCCATCCTCCCGGCGAACTATTGCGTTGCACCCCTACCAAAAACGCCATACAGGCCGTTTTCCACCGCGTGCCGAACACGTCATCCGTCATCCGACATACCCCCAGTGCACATGCATCGCATCAAATAAAATATACTTCCTTTATCCATCAATTGCACCTATAATCGGTTCTATGGCACGCTCGACACAGCAGTCTAGGTTGCAGGAGCAAAACAGCTGCATTGCGCGGTGTGCAGCTGTTCCAACAAAAGAATAATTATCTACCGAAATTCGAAAATGCAAAGTTCCTGCAGAACCCACACAAAACTCGTCAACCGTCAACCGTCACTTCGGACGTAACGCCTGCCATGTGTACCTTCAGCCCTCTCACACACCAGATCTACACACGCCCGTGAACACCGTGCGACATAAAAATCTGCCACGGAATATGGATGAGAGATTGGAGTGAAGTCCGCACTGCTGCCACAGGATTGCAGAGGAAGCGAATCGTCACAATAGGACTGCCGGACCGTCGGAGGGAGGTATCTCGCGGCACCTGAGCTTGCGGCTCCTAATTGTTGAGAAGGTGCTCAAGACTTGGTGTTTAACCACAAGTGCAACTACATGTATACGAGAGGTTCGATGATTCAAGACCAAGGCTGATGGTTGTTTAGCGTTAGCGGACATACTGCTGCCGTCGATATCCGGGAACAACCTCGCGGGCAACCCGTGTACAGTCGTATGCGTAACAGCAGTTTGCGCATCGACGTGCGGGAAGGTAACATCACGATTGCTATCGTAAACCTATGAGCGACTTGCCCAACACGTCTCATGGAACTCTACAAAACAAGCTGCGCTCCCCCGGCAATATCGGTACTGTGCGGAAAACTGGTCGGCGCCAAAGGTCGAGGTTGTGACCCATGAACAAACGTGTTGATTATCCCCGAGGGGAAACCAAGAACAAACAACATGGCTAATCTCAGCCTTGTATGTTCATCACGTGCCTTTACCAATTCACGGCGTTGCAGTGCCTTGCGCGGATGGTGGTTAAAAAAAAAGAAGGCATATGTTGCTTCGTGTCGTCATTATGGTCATGTTACTGAATGCCGCACACAACGTACACAATCAATGCTCCGCCCCGCGCCCGTTTCTTCGACACGCGGCTAGCCGGGGTACGTGCAACCCACCACTTTCTCTAGTCAGTTGTCTATTGATGATTGTTGAACATAACTAGATTCTACGATTTCTTGGGCGTTGGCAGGACCTACTGACTACTGCACCCTTGGTACCCAACATACGTGATGGAAGATAATCGCAATGACTACATTGCGACGTCTGGCCTGCTGGATCACGCCCATTCTGTGCGGTCGCGAACGAGCTAACCCTGCACCGGCACACCCTTGCCCTGGGATGCGTACATCTCGTAGTTTTCAGACACCTGATATTTGTTGCATGACAACAGGGAAGATCGAGGAGACATGGGGCGGACGAGGCGAGATTCAGTAAGATACAGAGTTGGCACAGGCATGGAGGCGGGGCGCTAAACGACATGGCGCGTCCGGTCTGAGAAAGAGTTACTGCAACGCCTGCCTCGTGTTGCACGGCAGGCGTTGGATCGTAACCCAGTTTTGGAATGTTTTGGATGAGACACTATCGGGGTCATCCTGTGGCGACAATACGTTCTTAGCACTAAAGAAAGTTGAGTCGGAAAAACGATTTGAATCCACAACACGACACTTCACACACTCCCAAGCCAGTTGTACGACTGATTCCAGACCGTCGACACGACGACCAGAGGCAAAATCACATCGTGCGATCGATCACACTGGATCATGGCAATCCGCCAATAGCACCCCATACCCCATTACAACCTCAGTGCCACGCCACAGGAGAGGTGTTTCTTGGCAGAGCGATACGAGCATCAGGTTAAGTTCGTATTTTCTGCCGTTCCACCGACGCCACACGGAAGGGTCGTTCCGGGGACCGGAGCACCGGAAATCTAGTTACCAGAGATGTAACCGACGTCCTAACCGGAAATACACCTGTCCTAATCGGAAATGCAGCTGCCCCGATGACGCCAAAGGGAGCGCCGCATGTACCCAAGTATACACGTTGGTATCACTTAAGGATCATGGACGTGCTTGAAATAGCACGGGCACACGAGCACTCCAAGGAAGCTGTACAAATACACCTGCGATCGCAAAACAGCGAAGTGCTGCTTCGCTACAAATGCTCCATGAACTTACCACCGCCCAGTTGACTACGTTCCAGAAAGCGCTGATGTACTCAGGCCTGCGGTTCTGGTACTTGAGGTAGTAGGCGTGCTCCCACACGTCGAGGCCGAGGATAGGCACCATCGCCGTGCCGGCTGCGCCCTCCATAAGGGGGTTGTCTAGCGTTCATGCGAGGAAGGAAAGGGGAATGCCGACATGGAGGGGGACTTCAACATTATGTAGGGTCAGTAGGAAAACTGAAAGTGTGAGCAAACGCTCTCCCGTAAAAAGGCAAGCATAGCCTACACGTCCATGATAACGCGCGAGCTAAATATGGGGCGCCAACACCGGACCAGCAGATCTTGAGCTTATGGTGTTGTGGTGTCTGCAAGATGCTCGAAGAGATTGCCGTTGAGAAATCATCGTTGGGGTATTTGAGGAGAAACAAGTCCCATCTTATGGGTCGTGAAACCGCCAGCATTGGGTCCGTGGACTTGTACCGAAAGTGTGCCGTCGGTATGGATGGCGAGACCGACAACTACAGACGGTTTCATGGATGCACATGTCGTGCGTGGCTATAACAATCATCCTTGGCTCGATGCCGTTATATCAGTGCGATCTTTCGAGCGACGTTACAGCCATAATGCGACACGTTGGAGGAGGGGACATAAACTCGAGCCCATCGCATTTGCCAAAGCAAATTGTAGCAATGCTCTGAGCTCACCAGCTAGCTAAATCATCTTTTGTAAGGGGCCATGAAACCGGACGTTGATTGTGGATTTGTGATGACACATTCATTGATCGGCCGGTTCACGCCGTCGATACAAACTAGACAAGCTCCACACACAACACAATCATGTGTTGATATTCCTTGCTCGCTGCCTAACCTTGGTTGGGGGTGCCAGTGATGGCAAGCTTTCCGTCGGGGGTGCAACCGAGCCAGGCCCATCCAGAGCCGAACACGCCTGCCGCGGTGGTGCCGAACTGGGCCTTCATCTCGTCCATCGACCCGAACGCCTCGTCGATCGCCTTCGCCAGCTTTTGGTTTCGATGTCCACGGGCCGAGATTAAGAGGATGTCGCAAGTACACAGCGAGAGAAAAGAGTGCAAAAGGTACACACGGACATGAAAAGGGCCGGAGCAAAACGGAGGAGATGAAAAGGAGACAAGACGGGAACGCAGGGGGAATACAAAATACATTGTAAGGAAGTAACACTTCTCGTGCGCTCGCAAGAGCGCAAGGTGGATGGAGTGTACGTGCTGCTTGGGTTGACTTCTTTCGTATATATCTACGGCAGGACTTTTCTTGGGTGACGCGTCGTTGTTTGGGCATTCTTGGGCTGCAGGTTGGGAGTCGGCAACTAGTGGTTGTACCGGTGGATCAAGGCGAAATGCTTTAGAACGGTTGTTGCTGTTGCGAAATACGTCAGAACGGTCGTTTTTGAAACAAACACGCATTATACGGGTATGTAGCAATCCTGTAGCGTAGAAAAGACACAACACGTACCTTGGCGGAGGGAGCGCCGCTGCTCTCGTGGTTGCACAGGGTGTTCCAGAATAGGCAGTGGTTGTAGTGGCCTGAAACAACACCCGCAGTAAGCACAAACCACAAACACACGCGGGAGCCGGTCAGCAAAGGAGGGACGGGGACCAAGCGCGGCAAAGTTGAACAGCAGGAAAATCGAGTAAACCGTGCGCTGAAGAAATTTCATGGGGTGATAGAGAGATAATTCCTAACAGCGCCATAGCATGGAGCAGGATCGAAGTAAGGATCAAGACACCTGCAGATGTCAAGAATACATTGCGGCGTCGCATCGAGAAAATCAGTCTAGACAATGTGGTGAGGACGCCACCCAAGCGAGAGATCAAACGATCAGGCCTGCTGTGAACCTTAGGCAACGGAGCGAGCTGCCATCACCAGCAGACGCAGAAAAAAAAGAAATGCAACATAAGCTTCGCGACGAGTTAGACCGTAGAAGTCAGCAGAGTTCAAGTGAGCTGTTCTCACCGCCGCCGGCGTTGCGGACACCGGTCTTGATCGCATCCTTCTGGAGTTCGAGCAGCGAAGGGGCGGTCTTGCCGGCGAGGGCCTGCTCCAGCCACATCACGCAACATCACATGGAATCACGTCGGTCGAAATGATCACACAGATGAACACCGAGCGTCAACGAATAGGCATTATCAAGACTACAGGTACCAAAGAGCGAGAAATTTTGGACTGCAGATGATACGGGAAAGGGCCCTGCTGTCAATCCCCAGACATAACACGCCAGAAAAAAGTAAGCGCTGCAAACACCGGATAGCGTCTAGACCTGTACTGTACGACGACGAAGGAATAATTCCCCATGGCAGACTGCCTTTCTTGCCGGCCAATCAGATTCACCTTGTTGGCGTTGGCCACGTACGCCGCGTGGTGCTTGTCGTGGTGGAACTGCCGCGAGCAAGCAAGACAGGCAAACAAACACAAAAAAAGGGCACCCGGATTTTGGTTTGTAAAGCGCCAGTGCCCCCCAGCCCAAACATCCAGCAGCAGACGCAGAGATGCATCGCCAGCACCGGAAAGGGCATAGTACAACGGACGTTTGTCATGTTGATAGAGAAATAACGGCAAGATAGGGCACACGCCGAGACGGCAAGATCACGCGAAGAACACCCGGCGCAACAAGAGGGAACGGCCGAAGATAACACAAGAGGCGCATGCGCGGCAGGAACTTTCCGCCGTGTTTCACCTTGACACTTGACCTCGTCAAAATATGCCACTGGCCATCAATGCGTGTTGGGCACTAGATGTACCTGCGAGCATCGAGGCGCATGCGCGGCAGAAACTTTCTGCCGTGTTTCACCTTGACACTCGACCTCGTCAAAATATGCCACTGGCCATCAATGCGTGTTGGGCACTAGATGTACCTGCGAGCATCGAGGCGCATGCGCGGCAGAAACTTTCTGCCGTGTTTCACCTTGACACTCGACCTCGTCAAAATATGCCACTGGCCATCAATGCGTGTTGGGCACTAGATGTACCTGCGAGCATCGAGGCGGTCTACTTCTAAACACACCATAGGAAATACGCTGATGTCTTCGACACTGCATCTTCTCAACAGTAAGTGCACGGGTTGCTCCGTACAACAGGGTGCGAGCCACCCTCCGAAGTCGAGGTGCATATCCCATGTCGCTGTCTGTAGAGGAAAGAAAGAATAGAAACATTGCCAGGTCGCCCTTACCCCGCCCGGCTTCGCTGCAGCCTCGCGGGAACCCCGTTGCGGAAGAATCAAAACTCTGCCACAACTTTGGACAAAAAAAAAAACACTGAGATCCTGACGATTCTGTGTCACGACCACACCTTCATCGTGGCGGCGTCGATGTGCGGCTCAAGGGCATCGTAGGGGTACGGGAGGTCGGGGAGAGTGTACGGCCCATCGGCGAAGGCGGGGAACGAGTTCGAGAACACGAAGCCTGCGGCGGCCGCGGATGCAGCAGCAGCCTGTTGATAACATAACAAACAACAAGCAAAAGAAAATAGCACGAGGTACTTTGCACGATTGAATGGCGGGGAAGAACTGTATTACATTGCGTGACAACACACGTAAGAAACGAACATAGCGGTGGGATAAACATACTTCAGAACGACGCTTTGTTTAGGAGGTTCTCTGCGTCCCCCATACGTAAACGTGCGGTTCCGCCTGAAAATACTGGGCTGGGTGTGTGTAGGTGCGTGGAAAACAAACGATGATCCACCCGAACGTCGTTCCATGTGTTTGTATCACTACACGCGGTCATGCGCATTCTTCACCTAGGCATGTTGGTCACCTTTTGCCTGCAACAGTAACAACGCCAAAAATGAACCCAACAGCAGAACCTACGACATGTCCTAAACTCACCTTGAGGGCGTCGCCCCTGCTCAGGGAGCCCATAGAGTCGGACACGCTCATCCTCACCGCGGACGACTTGAGCGATGCCCGCGTGGACACCGGCGTACCCACGAAGGCCGACGCGCATGCTGGAGACAAGAACAATTTTGTTAGCACGGAGGTGAGGAATACACTATTTAGTACAACCCCAAGCACGACCACAACATAGAGAGAGTGAGAAAGTAGAGCGACGCCACGCCGGGAAGGGTGTGTGTTGGCCTCAGGCCAGAGTGTATATCTTGCGTTCGCTCAAAACAAAATCAGCGCCGTGTAGTGGGGAGTTTGCCGTGGGCAATTGACAGGCAACGGCCAAACCGCGGGAGCGCGACACAGCAGTGCCGCTGTTCCAAACAAAAAACGGGGCAAAAATGGATCCGGCGTGATTGAGAACCGGGGTGATCCCTGTCCATGTTTGAAATGCTGGCAGTCAGCTTGGGTAAATTTGTTCCACCTAGTTTCCCCCTCGGCAATGATGTATTATCACAAATACGGTATACTACTGTTCAAGGAAGGACGCTGCTCTGTTGGCTTGTTTACATTTCTGTTAATAGTGACAACCTGCAAACAGCAAAAGCTGTTCATTCGTACACACACATGAACGTGGTTGTGTCGCGTGCACATGTGTGTACTTCATGCCGAAGAAGCGCAGGGCCCGACGTATAGCAAGGCTTGTTTGGAACAAGCGGGTGGCTGATTCACGGCAGAATCAGGCGAAAGCGTGCATATCTGATCGTTGAGGTTTGTCAGGTGCTGCGCAGAAGTTGAGCGCTCGCAATCGAACAGCAACAACTGACTGCTGTCTCCCGCCATCATGTCGGCAATCACAGGATGACAATTATCTGTTGAAAGCTGAACAATTGTCGCAAAACACAATTGGATGCATATAAGTTGTAGAAACACGTTGATTGACTTCACACCTCCCGCTAAATCCTGCTAGTATCTTTTTCGCGAAGGTACATACCCAGTACAGAAGGTTTGCACATGAAAAGCCAGTTTACCTTGCAACAAGTGTGCACTTCTAGAAATAGGTGAGTAAAATATCGACCGCACAAAATCTTCCCGCCTGTTCGTTCGATTTCATGATTCCGGGTTCAACGCAACTCGACCGGAGGATACAATCATGTACACATGCAATTTCTCTGCCCTCGGGGCAAAGCGTGAGACAAGCTGCCGCGATTCGCAACGGCAACACACTAGATGACCTCACATCCCCCCGGCGCGTTGCAACGGATCCCGCGCCAATGCGCGAAAGGAGCGGGCCAAAAAAATCACGAAATGAAAACACGTGCCTCACATGAGCATTTTTGTGCGCATCCAGAAAACTGCAAAGAAAGCAGCAAGGCAATCACTCCTACCACCGCAACGTGGAAGAGCACTCTCCATAGGTACGGCCCTTGTACTTTTCCCACGGGGAGGAGGTACAAACGCGACCGGGCGTTGCATCATGCACACACCCAATCCTAAATCAGAGGGCGCGAGAGAAAAGAGGCGGGATGAGAGTTTTAGATGAACGCTCTTTGGAAACCCGTTGTCGCTCGCACCGAGGATTGCGGGAAAATGTGTGTACCCACCTGCACCGCTGAGGACAAGAGACGTGGTGAACTTCATGGTGATGTGCACTTAGTAGCTGCAGTAGGAGAGTGTGTGGGATGGAGCATGTGGAGACACACACACCAGAGAGCGAAGGAAAGAGCGCGAGGTGGGGATCTGAACATTCAATCCGCGGTGCCCCCGGCTGCCTGCTCTCCCTCCTGCTCCCTGCTGTCCTCCTGCTCCCTGCTGTCACTCAGCTTGGCTTTCTTTTCACGTACAGGCGTTTGCTGTGTTCCATTCACAGAGCATACCTCTGCCGTGCAGGACGTGAAGTCCGGCGGAGCATTGAAAACCCGTGCAGTGTCGCCAGCCCGCAGTGTGTGCAGCAGTTGCGCACGATACGAGAATGGTAATGTTTAAACACCGACGTAACGCTGTTGCGGCGGCGCTCCTGCTTGCCCACCATCGACATGGAAACATGCCGCCTCTTGCGGCAGGCTTCGTTGCACCCACCCCGATCGCCGCTCAGCCGCAGCGGCGACTTCCACCCTGGTGTGAACCCGTATCGTTCCCGCCTGCTTGGGACTCTAGAAGGCCAGTGCCGGCAAGTAGCAAACCGCCGGCTTCCAACTGCAACTACCGCTCCTGCACCGCGCAAGGTGTTGGACCAACGAGCGCAACGACTTCCCACGCTGGTGCTTCTCCTTCCGGCAGTAGCACGCCGAAGACCGGTGCCGACGGTTCGGGTGCAGGGTCGGCTACTTCTTCATCACCTAGTGCGGTTGTCACGCAAGCAGTGGAAGGGAGCAAGCACCCAGCTGACGGGTTCGCAAACGGGGCTTTGATCCCATTGGCAGCGGAGGGAGGCAACAGCAGCGGGGCTGAAGGAGCAAAGGCGGTACGAGTGGATAAGTGGGGGGAGGCGGCGGAAGGGAACTTGGCGGGAGAGTTTGAGTGGGAGGGCGGGGCAGAGGCTGCATGGACCGAGTTCGAGGACTGGCTCCTCCAGGACACGTACTCCAGGTGTGAACATTGAAATCCAGGTGGTGTTGATGAGCAGCGGTAGGTGAGCTTGATACATGTGGTAGAAAGACGAAGAGGCGACTGCTTGTCCTCGTATGCTACCCGTGGTACACTCCACCCTGCTTTAGACCAACTTTTGCTCTTTGAGGTTGGACGATGTTGGTAACTACGGTATGATGGTGGTGACAATATTGAGCTACAGTTCAAGTATATGTAGTGATAATCAAGCCCGAGCATCTTCATTCTGCACCGCGTTTTCCCGACAGCAAGCAGCCCGGGCTACTAGTAGTACACCATGATCCACGCGTTGCTCGTTTCACCAGTGCTTCGAGACGGTCGTGTTAAGACTTTGGTGTTGATTGTAGGAACGGTGGCGTGAGAAAGAGATGCATCGTCAATCATCAGGTGACCGGAACAAATGAGTTCGCCTGCATGACGCTGTGAGCGATACACGAAGCATCGCTCGTTTGTAGAGAACCTCGGGGACACGGAGTCGGGATTGATTGGTGAAAGATTCCCCCGTTGCCCATCTCCATGCAGCAATTCTGCACCCACCGCCACTGGCCTTGTCATTTCAATGCGTGGGATACCTTTTTTGAGCCAATACTGCACAAGAAAAACTAGTCATCTCCGCGAAGCCATGCCCGCCCCGAGCGAAGTCAAGATGCACTGAATGTGGAACGTTCCACTCTTCCCGAACCCATACCGCCGTATCCTTTTGTGTCAATCGGCCATGAACAGATACGCAATCGGTTCAGGGAAACACGTGTTGTGGCGGCGCATGGTGCGAGAGGTGCCCGAACTCATAGAACGAACTCCGCAGGAGGCGCGGGAGAGATGGCTGAGACTCACGGGGAGGCTCAGCGCGGGCGGTGGAGAGGGAGGGAGCGGAAGAGAAGGGGGGGAGCTTATGGCAGGCTCGCCGGCATTAGACAACTTTTACATTCAGGTAGGCCAAAATGGGTCACAAGCTGTGGTTCGCTCCGTGGTATTGATTGCCGACCAAGGCATCACCTTGTTGTGTATTCCAGCCCTACCGTTGGTAGTCAAGTCCAGTTGTCCCGTTATGCCGCAAAGTTGTACCGGAACGTTCCAACTCTTGAACCCTTCCCGTCCTCCCGCTCTCGAAACGCCTGTTGGCCAACACAACCCAGCCTCCCGTGCTGGAGCAATGGGAGGAGATCGTCGAGGGCGAGGGAATGGGTTCTTTCCGCGGAAACGTGTTTGGGCAGCGAGGCTTGGCCGACGGGACGGCGATGACCACAGCGCCGATCGACGTTTCGGGCAGGAAAATACAAGACCAGGTACAATCCAAAGCTTGCGGCGTTACGGGGTACTTTTGTACCATCCCAATAGAGAGGAATTCTTACAACGCGTTGTTTTCGATGTATGGTCATACTAAGAGATCGGGACCTTTCCAAACCTTATAAGACGAGAATGTCAGACGATAGCCTCCCTGCCCTTTTCTGTCGTGAAAGTTTAGGCATCTAGGTAACAGTTTGGTTTGCCGCTGCCTTTTGTTTTACACAAGTCTGCGGTGGCTTTTCCGCAAGATAAGTCAACCACATGTTTTGTTTTGTGTCACAAGTGTCCAGTACGACTTTTTTGCAGGCTGAGCAAGATGACGCAGCAACGATTCACGTGGGGTTTGCATCCCATAATTTACACAATGACCTGCTGACTGTCGTCCGTCTTGAGTTCTTATCCTTTCCTCCCCCGTGCTGTGTTGCTCTTTGCAGTACGTGGCCACGCAGTGCGGGGTGGTATACGAGCTGGGAGAGAGACGAGAGACAGACTTGGTCAGCCAGGTAGGCCGAGACAGGACCTGGTCTTCTTTGCGCAGACGTTGTGTCCAGTTGATGGTTATTTTCCAGTCTCTGTCACTCGCATGAAATGTTTCACTATTTCGGTTTCGTGCGCTTGCTGCCTCTTGTTAAACGAGACTGTTGCCTTTGCCACCAGGACACAAACAACGAGAAAACAGTCAGTTTTTGATAGACCGTGTGACGCATTTGTTGTCGGGGATGTCGAGGGGGTGCTAGGTTTCCGCCGTTGGTGACGGTAGTCTTGATGTGCGTGCAGCATTCCACATGCAGCACCTCCTCGACAGTTTGCCGGGCTTACCCTGCAGCGTATCGACCAACTGCATCGACGTGCTGAAGCAGAGAAGAGCAGAGATTCGTACCTGCTATGCCGGTGCCCTAGGCTGGATTTCCAACGGTAAGGTAGTAGGTACCTTCACCCCCATATTCTGGTTCTTATCTCTTTTCCGGATGACAGACGATGCGACATCACAACAAATGAAAAACTACAACGTCTTCGTGCCACGTTGTTAAATTTCTTCCTTCCCCGATGGGTGGTGCATGCATCTTAACCTGTGCCCTTGATTGAAAACCTGTGTTATCCAGGCGTCTTCAAAGATGCTCAAGATTGCCCCGGCCACTGTGCTGGCGCTCGCTGGAGCATTCTACGCCTTGACAGCCCTGTCGCACCACATTCAAGTCGAGGTCTTCGTCATTTGATCGAAGGCCAGTCGTCAAACATTATATTTTAAAGCCTCCGATTGCAATAGTAGAACGTGGTAAATGTTTTGGCTTGGGGCGGCGTTTGAGTGCGATGTGAGCTGCGCACCTCTGTTACAGGATGCTATTATAGCACAACACAAGTCCTGCGTTGGGTGCAAGCCTCTTAGTTGATGCTTGCGGGAACCAAGGTGTACCTGGAGTGCACGGGTTGATACCAGCGTTCTTGTTTTTTGTTTCACTAGGTTACGAAGTGGGTTTGGCAAGTAGATTATAGGTCCGTTTGGTATGCTCAGGGGTGGTTATGTGTCGGGAGCGAGGGTGGGGAGTGGAGGGGGGCAGGCGGGCGAACTACTAGTTCCTCTCGCGTTCGCATAGTTAAAACCCAAGGCATTGGTTCAGGCGGTCATTGAACTGCGGAACAGCCCAGGTCTGTTTCTTCCGAGAAGTGTGTGGACGAGAGGATGGAGTACTTTTTTTTTGTACACATAGCCCAGCTGTTTGTGTTTGGTCCCTCTACACTTCAGGCGTTCGTTGGTGTATTTTGGGGAGTACTGTACTATGGTGGCGCGCTCCGATGAGTAACTGGACCTTGCCCTTGTAGCATCTCGACTGACACGCAACGAAAGGTTTCCTGTTTCTGTAAACCACCCTCAGACTGATGGTATCGAACCATCCGACGTCCATCATTGGCAACGCAACGCGCAGGACGTGTTCCCATTCGTGGGAGGCAAGCAAGTTATCCCTTTTGTTTGTGATGTCTTCACAGTTTTGTTGATCCATCCTCGACGAAGTCGTCTGCGGATGTAAACAACATGACGTTTGCACGAAGGGTGTAAGCGCTCGGTGAATGGACGCCTCGCAGATCTACACGACTTCCTTGTCTACAGCAGTAGACGTAGATGCGCACGGAAGGATAAACAACCGGTGTCCCAGTAGTACTCGGTATTGTCTGTACCAGGCCCCGTCGCACGCACCCACCGGATGCAATATGATCTGGGTAACCCAAACTGTGGTTTAGGGTGTCTTTCGAACAAGCAACGTATGCTGCAGCACGGCGCTCATGTCTCCCGGGTTGAAAACCAAAAACATGTTCCCCTGTTTTTTGTGACACAGAGTCGACTCCGAAGTCTACCTGGTGCTGCATGTTGCGCATCTCTGATCTGCAACTAAGGGATCCTAGTGACGAAGTTGGGACCAACATGCATTGCAAGGAATGCCTCCCAAGGATGTGCAATACATGGGGGGTCGCCAAGAAGTCCGAGTTTTCCGCCATGAGAACGAACTCAGGCATCACCGCACGAGGAGATGCGGAGAAAAAGAAACTCTTCGTTGTGTACATCCTCCTTCCTAACCCGGGCTGGTGCGTCAAACAAATGTCTCGAAGGTTTGGACTGGCGCCCAATATAGGGCGGAAACACGCACAACGCCCACGTGTCGTCATTGCTTTTGTTCTCCCTTTACGGTGAAATTGCCGCTGGAATCCACACAAACAATCCTAATCCTTCTGGTAAAATACAACGGGTACGAAAGTATCACGGATATCCGATAGACCAGACACAAAGCCCCCCGAATAGACGAACACCCGAACACAGGAGTGAAAAAATGTGAAACAAACGAAACGCTTGACGAACACGCACTGGCCGTCACGGCCGCAAACCATACTCGTACCGTATAGAACAAAGCACTATTGAGTTTTCGCTGGCGCCTTCGCTTCCTGGTTCTTAGCCGCGTCTTGTCCCATTCTTCGCAGCTCCATTACGGCGGAAGACACAAAATATGTGCCGTAGGCGGTGCTTGCCAGGAGCGACACCACTGCCGCCTTGTGGACGATATCAAGTACTACTTTGCCCCCAGACATGGTTTGATACCGTAACAACAGCGCCCTGCGAGTATCACAGGGGCGCTAAATGTGGAAAGGTGTACGCCTGTGCACAGCCCTCTGAAGCAGTGCCACAGCAGTAAGCTCTCGCCCCTGAGCGACAGTCAAAGAGCCAAGGGATGAGGCCGCGAGGCGGCGCACAGGGGGGGTGGGGGGATTCGTGGCATGTGTCTTTAGTCCTATACGACTTGGATGCTCGTTGATTGGTCGTTTCTTGCCGCCTCGCGGCATGACTTGGCGCAGGAAAAGAGAAAGTACAATTCGCGAGTCGGGATGAACAAGACATAAACACATGCACCTTGGTGCTGCGCTGAAACATTGGCGGACGAAAAAGTGAAAGAGGGGGGGGGCATTCAACGTCATCGAGTCTGGAGGTCAACAACGCGTGTTAGTAGAGGGAAACGACATCAAATCCAAATTGCGGGATCAACGTCCAGATAGAGGCCGGCGGAGGGGTAGGACCTGCGAAGATTTGACAGGACGCCACCGACTGTTGAGCACGACATGTCTCGAGATAAAACAGGCTTCGATTCCTGGATTTGTTGGTTCCATCGTCCGCAACCATTCGAATCTGACAGTTGACCATGCAGTACAGGATCTGCTCAGTGTAGGCAATTCTCTCTGCTGCTTAAAGACCTCCACTTCAAAGAGCCCCTTGTTCCAACATTGCATTTCAATTTGGTTTCAGTGTTGGCCTGTTCGTTCGATTCTTTCCAGGGAACGTTTTGTAGGGGTTCCCCGTACCCGGTTAGTTGTTTCTTAAAGTCTGCCGGGGAGGCATCGAATATGATTCCGAGATTACACAAATATCTTATACATAGTTTTCGGGCGTCTCGCTAAGCTCGCACTTGTCACTCAAAGAGAAGCCAGCATGATACGGTCAAGGGAAGGGCGAGTCAGTCGCGAAAGCGGGATGGTACTCAAGCAACACGTTACATCCTTGGTTCTTGCTCAAACCATCCTCCCATGGGGTGCGAGCAGCTACCAAGTCGAGCGGAGGGCGACGCACTGATGTCATTATATATATCGTGGGCAGTCCTGCGCCAGTCTGGTCTTTGTCTGGTGCTCTAGCTGCTGTGCTTGCGCTTGGTAAGCATGTGATAAATCAAAAAGAAATAAAGTAATCGGAGAACATCGACAAATAGTGCGATACGCCGGGTGGAAGATTTGAAATGTTGGAGGGCTTTAAACACACGGAGCACATCCCTAGCCATGCGCTTTATGTCCGTTCAAGAGCTTTTGCCTGGGGGCGTAGGGACAAGTCTCTTGTCCGTTGTTAACTATTTGGATGGCATGTGATCGGTTTGCTCCGTGACGTGGTCCATCTTCATCTTCACAGCGACGTGCACCTCGAAAGCAGTACTTGAGCAGAGTAGTCTAGTGCGATCCAGAGAAAGGATTGTTATGTTGTTATCGTGCCGGTACAACGTACAGATGGCATCCTGCTTGACCCGTGGTATGTGTAACAATATTCTACGTTCGACTACCCTGTGTTGTGGCACTAAGCAATGGCTTAGCCTACGATGAGTGTTCCCTCGACCCCTCGCCCGTCTCGAAGGCGAGTACACCCTATTGGAAGGTGTTGCTGATGCATTGCTGCACTGCTGTAGACACGTACCTGCCAAGCTATGCACTGAACTTGGTTTTCTCCCCGTTTAGCCTTGTATGTCACGGTGCGCGGAACTCTTAAATATACCGGGAGAACAGAAGGCAGGTCCAGAGTACTGCATACATGTGGCTTGGACTGTACGAGAGGAGAGAGCTGCCCCAAAATGTGACGTGTCACTGCAGTCATTGTACAGCAGTAGTCTACAGCAGTCAGTCAACGAACAGGTACTGCGCAGCAGTACACATGCATACAGCTCACCTTCCTCTCTTCTTCGCTGCTTCGTTCCCCCTTTTCCCAGATTTCTCACAAACAGGACTAACGTCGAGAGCTGACGCTGGGGGTACAGGTGACGCTTGTTGGGCTTGGTTTCTTGGTGAACGCTCACGCGACCGAAAGTACGGTCGGGGGGACGACACCCTGAAAAAAAAAAGGTTCTGAACCATAACGCCTCCGTCATTGCTTAGTCTAACGCCCTCTCTCGAAAACTCGCGAATTTTGCCCTCTGCTCTTACCTCCTCACTCCTCGCCTGCCTCACGGCCTCAAGTCTCGGCTCGCTGTCGGCACGTATCCTACACACCGTGCGTTATACCCCTACAGCCGTGGTCTCGACGCCTATACCTAATTTGCACAACAACGTCGCTCCCGATCGTGCGTGATACAGACTATCATCTATCCATCGAGAGCTCGATCCTGGGCGCCTCGTCAGTACCTATAGTCACTGCTGCTGTCTGGATTGACATCCAAAGCGTCAGCCCGAAGCTATAGGCACATGCGATGAGGCGCGGAGCCCCTGACTGTTGTCTCGACTCATGGATGTTCTTGTTTGCGCAAAATTCGCTGGAGTTACTCATTTCTTGGATGAGAAGCAAATCCAAAAAGTTGAAAGCTGCCGAGTCAGTGATCGCAGATCGCAACAAAGTTCAAGACTGCTGTCGTCTCCTTTCTACTCTGTTGACGACCTTCTGCGATCAAAATGGATTATCGACGTCGACTTAGAATGTACGGATCAGGAGACACGGCGCGCTCTTCGCGGCGAATTTCAGGAATAGGATAGTCTTCGTACCCTCATTCCGAAATACGATGCAGTACCTCTGCCAGGACAATCTCGACCCTCTCATTCATACAAATTGCCATTTTCTATTTTGGGCAGACCGGAGCCCCTTTGTAGTACCAGGCGAGCAACACCTCCAATTCTTCTGGTTCAGTAGTGCTCCCGCCCTTTGTTGGCCCCGCAGAGACTAGGGCTTGGGGGCTTGTCGCTACTCCGCCCCCTGCCGGTGAGCGACCTGGCGGGCGTGATGCGGCGGGCTTCCCTCCATGAACGTCAAGCGTGGGGAGACGGGTGAAGGATATCAAGAGCTTCTGCCCACGAAAATTCCGGGACGAGGCATGTCAGACGTTCATGGACAACGCGAGGGCGGCATGGGGGGCAGAGAGGATCACCCTACGACCCAATACGGTCATCGAACTACTAGACTATAGAACCTAGAGAATTGCTACCTCTTGCTCAGGTGACCTGATCCTCCTCGTAATCGTCCTTGTCCTCATCTGTAACGAAGGCTGCCCATCAGTTGTTGGACGCCGTGACGAGGGGTTCGTTGTCCTCGCCATCGCTCCTCGAACCTGACACCAGAAAGGAAGAAGCGGGTGGGTGGTGAAGGGGATATCACAATGCCGCACTGCCATTCTTCTTGTATGCTGTCAGAGTCGCCGTGTCGAAACCTGCCAGTGCTGATGAAACCACTTTCAATTTGTGCGTAATATTTTGAACGCCGCGCTAGCAGGCGGGGGCAGAAGGCGACTAATGTACTCCACGCACAGCGCGTAACATGATGGTACTTGTGTTTATTTCATCAGCGCTTGTCCGCGTACATGAACGGGACTCAGAGATCGGGCGATGTTATTTATAAACGATGGCGTAGCGGGTCTGCATACAAAACTCTCATTGCAGCAGTAACCCTCCCTCCTCTCAAGGAAACACCGACTAGTCTACCGTCCATGTCTAGTAAATAGTAAATGGGCCCACATTCAGGATGTGGTACCAAGCTTCTAATCTCCCGAGGCCCGAGTTCATATTGTCTACCTGTCCGTCCTGTTGAATCACTGGATAACTTTGCCTACAATGTGCTCTCGCCTCACCTCCGTCCACTTTGGCATTCGCTGCTATAGCAGTGCATTCCGTCGGTGACGGAACTGCTTGAGGTGAGCCCTGCCTTGCTTTGTACCGCGTCCAACGAAGCGCGTTAAGCTCTGGATTTCTTCATCCTGACGATGGACCTATAATAGTAGTGTGGTGTGCGATAAGCAGCAATGAAACCCGGCGAAACGACCCATGGGAAAGAACACGGTGGGGTTCAAAGTCGGCAAACACACGGCATCTAGCACATCTTCATGCGTCGTTTTCAACTCCACCTTGTTCCGCGTCCGCCTCTTTCTCGTCATGACCCGACTTGGGCGAAAAAGAGTCGGTGCGGCCGCACACTGTTCCAGAAGAATATGCGGCAATGGGGAAGAGACCAAACTTGACTACTGTAACAAAACCTTGTCTTTCCCGCTCACTGTCTGCTTTAAGGGTTTCACTTCTCTCTGGCCTTTGTTGGCGACCCTCTTTTCCGCCTGAGAAGCGTAGCAGAAGGGTGGATGGATAGTTGAATGCCACCTACAGGGGACACATGGAGAGGAAAAGTTTCGATTTGAAGCACACCAGGACGAGGAGCAACTGTTGTCCTACCGAGAAGGAAAAATTTGCAATTTGAGAGGTGAGCGAACGAACATACTCCACCGTAACGTCTCATGGTCACGGCTATATTCTATCGGGGGTCCGTTTTGTCGGTGCTTTGTGTGGGGCTGCCGCCTTCTGTAGTCAGGAGACGTTTGAGTCAGAGCATTGCACGTACCTCGTAGTTGGCACGGCACGTCGCCAAGTCGCGTTCGGCGTGCTTGATCATTTTTTCTTGCTTGAGGAAGGCGTCGTTCAACGAGACCAGCCCCGAGCGCGAGAGCTAAAGAGAAGCGATGGAAGGTGGCGGTGCGGGAGGGAAATGTGCACCCGACGGCAACATTGGAGGTGAAGACGATATTAAAACGTCAGAGACTATCGGAAGGATGGAACAACCTACCAATACGGTTGGTGTGTAATTTGTTATTGGTTTGGGGATTTCACATTTTGCAGTTTTGGGGGCGCAAAAATGGAAGGTTTTGAAACATTTCCACGCCGGTGGCCCGCCTTCATTTTTTCTGGGGAGAAAAACCACGGGTTAAAGAGTGATTCGCACCCACCGCGGTGTAAGGCACGGATTATGCTCACACACATACACACATTACACCAGATACTTTTGTTTACAAACTGTATTCTAGCCTTTCAAAAGGTCCGGCGAGTTTTTTTCCTGATCAACTTACCAACAGACGGAGAGAGAGAGAGAGGGAGCGAGAGAGAGAGAGAGTAGAAGAAGCAGAGAAAGGCGAGACCGCCTTGGTCGCTGCGCGACAAATAACCTTTTGTTTTTTTTGTCCGGTGCATGCGGACCAATGGGCTCGCCCTGTGGAATTTATTCTTTTGTTTTCCGGTCTCTCTGCCTGCACGCAAGGGAACTTAGAGTCACATTGTATTAATGAATACAAACTCAATAGCTATTTCCGACGCAGGACACACAATATGGAAATGAAAGTTACCGCACGACTAAGCTGTACGAACATATTGTGAAGAACATCAACGTGCTGCCACAGCACTTGCCTGCCGCTGGGCTTCGACCCGTGCTACCAGCTCGGATTTGATCTCCAAGTCTTCCTTGTCCCGCACAGTTGCTTCTCTCGCCCTGCAGGCGCCTAGCCTGCCCTCGATAAAAGACAGCTGCAAGCTGAGGCATGCGGACCGCGCAATCTAGAGAGAAAATCGATGTATGGCATGCGGGGGCGGAAGGCGGGAGGGAAGACTTACTGTCTGATGCTACACTTGAAGAAGTTCGACCATGTTCACAGTAGTGAACGGCGTCGGAGAGCCAATCCGAGGGAGAGACGGTGCCAGACTTGGGTGCTGATCAGCTGCGACATTCAGTCCTCGAAGGCACCCACCTCCCGCTGGGCTTGGGTCACCCGGGTCCGTTTGGCCGCCGTTGCTGTTTGTGCCCTAGACTCCTCGAAGTCCCGAACAAGTGCTGACTCCCTCTTCGCCTGGCGCTTGCTCATCACGAACATCATGCCTGCGATGAAGACGAGGTAGACGATGCTGAGCACGGCCATCTCCAACAGGTGGCCTGTTTCCATGTTCGCAACAAGCTGACTTTCTTCCATCTCCCTCACTGTACGCCAGGGCGCAGGAAGCTGACACTTTCCGCGCGACAATATCCCGGTGATCTTGAGGACCAAGCTAGGATTGGGAAACCAGGCTAGGATTGGGAAACCAAGCTAGGATTGGGAGGGCACGGCGCAGGTAAGAAGAACGCGATAAATATGTCAAGCAGTAGGTACTTGATGTCAAAACATCAGCAATCCAGCTACAATGGCCACCAATGTTAGCCTGGACGCTTGAAACATTTGGTTCGGCGCAACAACGTGGGTCGGGAGCAGCATCGTGCACAAAACGGGCATCTTGTCAACGCGGCAAGTACAACCGACGACCGAATGACGAAGGTAGCAAAACATCTTGACATGTAACTGGCTGTGTAGAGCATCTATGCCTCGTAACTATCTTCGATGTGGCTTTATGGATTGAAGTATCAAGTAAAAAGCGCCAGCGACTCTTTGGAAGCTTACTACGAGGAGGTCGATCGACTTTATTCAGTCATACTCGCCGCGCGAGCTCGTGACCACTTCGCTTAATTTTTTTTGCGCGGTGGTAGAGCGAGGTGCCAAGGAAAACTGCACCCATAGAATACGTACCGGGCGAGTGTGACTGCCGGCGGGCTTTCTTTTCTGTCCTCGCGAAAAACCCAAGCATGGTAAGGAGTGTGTCAGAAGATGCCAAGAATTTGTCCCCAGCAGACTAAAACCGTATATGCCGTAGACTCTACACTTTCCCGCGGTTGCGTTGTATTTTGCGATACCTGCGACAAACCGGACGGGGTCTTCTATACACCCAGGCACTACGGAGAGAGTGCGGGCGAGAGAGACAGAAGTGCAGCAGAAATAGACAGTGTACTTCTGTAGACGCAACAGATATCAGCCCGCACAGGATGGTGGGCACAGACAGGGTCATAGAAGGGTTGATGCATGGTCGCGGTGCGGCCGGTAGGGCAGGTTAGGCTTGTAGACCTCGAAAAGATCAGTCGCCAAGCAGCCTAAACTACTCTATTTTCAGTATATTCAAATGATCAGTGAAAATGATCAGTGAGAGGGCTTGTAGACCCTAGCTGGTTCTTGCACTTCTGTACTTCTCTGTCCCCTCCC